CAAAGTCGCTCATCAATGTCTTTATGGACTTTGCTTTGTGCACTGGTGTGTAGTCATGTTGGAACAGGAAGGGGCCATCACCAAACTGTTCCCACAAAGTTGAGAGCTTGAAATTGTGGTATGCTGACACCTTAAGAGTTCCCTTCACTGGAACGAAGGGGCCAAGCCCATCCCCTGAAAAACAACCTCACACCATAATCCCCCCTCCACCAAACGTTACACTTGGGACAATGCAGTCAGGCAAGTACTGTTCTCCTTGCAACCACCTAACCTAGACACATCCATTGGATTGTCAGACAGAGAAGCGTGATTGATCACTCCAGAGAACACGTCTCCACTGCTCTAGATTCCAGTGGCGGCGTGTTTTACACCACTGCATGTGACGCTTTGCATTGCACTTGGTGATGTAAGGCTTGGATGCAGCTGATTGGCCATGGAAACCCATTCCATGAAGCTCTCTATGCACTGTTGTGCTAATCTGAAGGCCACATGAAGTTTGAAGGTCTTTAGCTATTGACTCTGCAGACAGTTGGAGACTTCTGGACACTGTGCGCTTCAGCATGCCCTGACCCCGCTTTGTAATTTTACATCCATCCGTGAAATTTCCTTGCTACTAAATATTCCACGGTCAACTGTTAGTGGTACTATAACAAAGTGGAAACAACTGGGAACAGCAGCAGCTCAGCCACAAAGTGGTAGACCACGTAACATGACAGAGCTGTTTCAATGCATGCTGAAACGCACAGTGCACAGAAGTCGCCAGCTGTCTGCAGAGTCAATAGCTAAAGAACTCTAAACTTCATGTGGCCTTCAAATTAGCTTAACGATGGGTAGAGAGCTTCTTGGAATGGGTTTCCATGGCCAAGCAGCTGCAGACAAACCTTACATCACCAAGTGCAATGCCAACCGTTGGATGCAGTTGCTGTAAAGCACTCCGCCACTAGACTCTAGAGCAGAGGAGACGTGTTCTCTGGATTGATGAATCACGCTTCTCTCTCTGGCAATCTGATGGACGTGTCTGAGTTTGGCTGTTGCCAGGAGAACGGTACTTATCTGACTGCATTGTGCCAAGTGTAAAGTTTGGTGGAGGGGGGATTATGGTGTGGGGTTGTTTTTCAGGGTTTGGGCTTGGCCCCTTCGTTCCATTGAAGGGAACTCTTAAGGTTTTCTTCATACTATTTCATGCTCCCAACTTTGTGGGAACAGTTTGGGGATGGCCCCTTTCTGTTCCAACATGGCTGCACACCAGTGCACAAAGCAAGGCCCAAAAAGATATGGATGAGCGAGTTTGGGGTGGAGGAACGGCTCTGGCCTGCACAGACTCCTGACCTCTATAGAACACCCTTGGGATGAATTCAAGCGGAGACCATGAGCCAGGTCTTCTTGTCCGACATCAGTGCCTGACCTCACAAATGTGTTTCTGGAAGAATGGGCAAACGTTCGCATGAACACTCTCCTACACCTTCTGGACAGCCTTCCCAGAGGAGTTGAAGCTGTTATAGCTGCAAAGGGTGGGGCCAACTCAATATTGAACCCTACGGACCAAGACTGGGATGTCATTAAAGTTCATGTGCGTGTAAAGACTGGCGTCCCAATACGTTTGGCAATATAGTGTGTGTGTGTTGTTGTTTATTTTTTGTAATAAAATGAAACGACACAGGGAAAAAGTATTGAACACTTGAAGAAAGGGAGGTGCAAAAAGGCATAGAAAGCCAAGACACTATCTAAAATCTATCATTTATTAGCAGTCCTGCCCCTTGTCAGTGCAAATTAATATCAGCTGGAAACTATTTGGTTTCAAAGAAGAAGAAAAAAAGCTGCAAGAATGGCTCAGTCAATCACCTAACCTGAATCCAATAGAAAAGCTATGGAAAGAACTGAATATCAAAGTTCATAGAAGAGGCTTACGGAACCTTCAAGATTTGAAGACTGCTTGTGTGGAAGAATTTGGCCAAAATCACACCTGAGCAATGCATGCAACTAGTTTTTCCATACTGGAGGCGTCTTGAAACTACTGTTACCAACAAAGGATTTTTACGAAGTATCACATAAATTTCAGTTAGCGTATTCAGTACTTTTTCTCTGTCATTCCGTTCTAATACACATGACTTAATTTCTGAACTTATTTGTTTCAGTTTCTTTGCATGTAAGGATTGCATGGGTTGGTACTAACGTGAAAATTTCATGTCAGTAGCACCTTTAGAAATCTATTTACTGAGAAAAATGGGGACGTGTTCAATACTTATTTTACCTGCTTTATATTTTTTTTACAATTTGATTGCTGTTACAGTGATGATCACTGTAACAGCAATACTTTGAACTGTCATGAATGAATTTCATAACTGTTCTAAGTATTGTGATCACATGGTACAGGGTGCTATACCATGTGATAGCTGTGGGCCAATCACAGCATCACAATATGAAGCACCGCTGTTATAAATGAAACCCATTCATAACACTTGTGCGAACACTAAGATCATGTGATTGCACAGTGATCCCCTGTGTCCACCATGTTCCCCAGAAGGAGTACCAGTGCACATTTGCTAAACAACATATGGGTATCTCCCTTGGCCTGCCTGTGCCGCCCATCTGCAGTATATGTACTGTGAGTGACTGGGAAGTAGTTAAAGTGGTTGTAAAACCTAAAACATGAAATATGACAACAGCCCATTGGTCTATACTGAATGTGATTTCTCTCTGCTACCTCATTCCTCTGAGTCTACAGTCTGAGTCACTTCTGTCTCCTTTTCCAGAATCTAAGAGATCATTTGCAATAGGGGAGGAGAGCTTCAGCACACAGCCTGTGATTGCCAGCCAGAGCTGTACATGTCCCCCCATGTACTGGGAGGAGGGGGTGTGTTCCTACCCTCCAATCAGGAGTCATAGCTCTCCTCACTGAACTCTGCAGTGTGAGACCTCCGATCTCCATCTGTTTTTCAGGGTCCAGAGATGATGCATAAATTGTTTTTTGTAGAAAGCTGTAGAAAACAATTGCAGATAACCAGGTACAACTTATGGAGTCTATTATTATTATTATATACAGTATTTATAAAGCGCTAATAGTTCGCTCAGCGCTGTACATTACAAAGGGGGACAGAACATGTGACAGAACAATACCAATACAATGCAAAACATGAGGGGATTGAGGGCCCTGCTCTTTCGAGCTTACAATCTAGGCTATGGGTGTATTTGTTTCATCTGTGTTTCACCTGATGCTAGTCACTTCACTGAGTATATGTAAGGGTTCCAACCACTTTAACCCAATATTACGGTATAGTTTTGACATTTAATACTTTGTCCTATGTGATGGAAGCCTTACATTATTCAAAGTGAAGAATTGTTCAGACTATAGGGAGCTTTCTTGATGCAGTTGTTTTAAAAATGCTCAAGTACAGTACATGTGCATTTACTATTCTTTCAAGTGGCCTTCTTTATGTATGTTGGCATGTCACATTTCCTAATTCTTAAAAATACACTAAGCTGCACTGCATAGATGGAACTCTCAGCGTAGGAGTAAATGAGAATTTTCCCTGAATGACACCTTAACCACTTCCCATCCGGCCCCTGTATATTAACGGTCGGACGGGAGCAGTGCAGGGGCGGGTGGCCGTTTTTTATAAACGGTCTCCCCGCACCCTGCTTGTGCGTGCTCCCTGGGAGCGCGCAACACACCGCAATCCGGTGTCCGCTGTGTCCTCCGGACACAGTGGAACACTGATTGTTGTACGGGACCTCTGTGTGGGGTCCTGATCATGTGATCACTGATTGGCCAATCAGTGATCACATGAGTAGTAAGCAAGATGTCACTTCTGACATCATTGCTTACTACGTGTGAAATCTGTGAATGATCACAGAGATCACATGGTACAAGGCTATTCACAACAGCCTTGTACCATGTGACAAGCTGTGACCAATCACAACTCACACAGTATTTCTCAATGGCTGCAAGAATGCAGCCAGAGTGGAGGAGAAATTATTGCTTTTACAGCCTTTATGGGTATAAAAGCAATCGGTGTAAAAAAAAATTATAAATTTCATCACCCCCCACAAGTAGTACAGTCACTATGGTGACACTGTGCTGCTAGGGTGACGGTATGTAGGGGAAAAAAAAAAAAAATATATATATATATATATATAATATATATATATATATATAAAAAATGTAAAAAAAAATTTTAAAACAATTATATAATTTTTGGTTATAAACTAATTTGGGTTTTGTTTTGTTTTTTTTTGTTTTTTTACTAAAAAGATAACTGAATAAATGTTGGCCAGGATTTAGGAAGAAAGATTATTTATTTGCAAAATTGTATAAGAAAAACACTTTTTTTTCAAAATTTTGGACATTTCATTTATATAGCAAAAAAAAATAAAAATCCCAGTGGTGAATAAATACCACCATACTAAAGTTTTTTCTGTCTCAAAAAAATGCTAAAAAAATTCATATGGGTACAGTGTTGCATGACTGCGCAATTGTCATTCAAAGTGTAATAGCGCTGAAAATTGGCCTGGACGGGAAGGGGGTAAAAGTGTCCGGACTTGAAGTGGTTAATGTGAAACAAGGGAGTCCTTTTCTCAAATATTTGTAACGTCATGGCAAGCACCCTTCTTGACACAAGTGCCAAAGGTTTTGTGGCCATCAGAAAGTGGGAAGGGGGTGGGGGGCGATGTATGTACAATTTACCTGCTGGAGGAGGTCAGGTATCCGAAGCAGTTGATTTTTTTTATTTTTTTTTTTAATCTAATTTATTTTTTTTTTGTCATTAAGTTTTTAGAGGCAACACTGCTACTCTGTTCAGTTGCTATACATTTTTTCTACTGTGTTAATGTGCTTTTGTGTATCTACTGTCAAAAACTGATTTGTTCTTGTGGTAAAAAGAAAAAATGCAAATCAGAAATCTCACCAAATTGATACCTATTATTTCTACAGTTTTAAATGATTGTAACTATAACTTTTAGTTTAGACCTTTTACTGTCAATCTTAGATTATACTTTCCAGCATGATACATGCCTTTCTTTTGTTTTCAGCTAATGATGTGACTGGACTTCGAGAGTCTGAGGAAAAGCTAAAGCAGCAACAGCAAGATTCTGCTCGAAGGGAGAACATATTGGTGATGAGGCTGGCCACTAAGGAACAGGAGATGCAGGAATGCACAGTTAGTAATTTTGAATCCTTTTTTTTTTTCTGTATAACATTTTGCTCAGTAATGGCCGATTTACATTTGCACTCATACATGATAATATATAACCTAGAGTTTATATAGATGGATTTAACTGGACAGAAGTGGCATAGATAAGCTGCCAAATGCATCCAACGTTACAGAACAAGTCCATTTGAATGTTACTGTTTTAGTAGCAGGTTTACAAGTAAAAATGTCAGTAGCTGCAAACACATATAAAGTGCTGCGAATGTTTTCTGTGCAATTTTGTAAAATGTATCCTATTATCATATTCATTTTTACGAAACACCTTTCCAATACAAACCTTTTTTTTTTTTTTTTTTTTCTCCCCTCCTTTTCTCCTGCTTTATCTCAATGTAATTTTGATCTTTTCAGTGTTAATTTTATCCTTTTTAAAACCAATAGGTCAGAATAGAAATGAGCTGCCATTTTTTTTTTAATGTACATGATCCAGGGCTGTCATACTTCTCCTTTAATCTTTACTACTTAATAAAGAACTGACCTGAAACAAACCTCTTGGGGGAAAAAATGTGCAGATTGGGTGTCGGGACTAAAGCTGGCCGTGCGCTAGTTCACTTTTGGGCGACCGTAATTTTGCTTTGTACGAAAATTTTCATCGGTACATTCGATGACTTAACAAATGTAAATTTGAAAGTAATTTTAAATGCTGTTTTTGCAGTCTGTTTCTTAAATAAAAACGTTTGTAAACAAAAAAGAGTGCATTTTAAAAAGGTTTGCTTTTAACATTTGATTTTGGATTCAATGGACTTTCCAGAATGGAAACCACATTCGTTGTTAGAAATGTGTTTGTTACCTACACCTACAAAATGTTCTGGTCACTGTGGTTGAAAACTGTCAATTTGACCCCACTAACTTAGAAAATCAGACTTTCTTAAAATGAAAATTTCTTAACAAAATTCTACTAGTGTATGGCCAGCTTTAAGAGATGAAACATTTGTAAAAATACAAGGCCCTAGAATATGCACCTTTCAAAGATGAGTAATCCGTGTTCTATCATGATGGGTTTCTTGTGAGTATGTGAAGAGTTCCAGCTTTATTGTACATAAATATTCACTAAGTACTTTACTAGGATCACTTGTGCGAATATCTAATCAGCCAATTACATGCAGGAAGCAGCAAAGTGCATTAAATCATGCAGATGCCGATTTAGGAGTTTCAGTTAAAATTCATATCCAACATCCTAATGGTAAGAGTAAATGATGTTGATCATGGTGCCAGACAGGCTGCTTTGAATATTTCTGTAACTACTGATCTGTGGGTGGTGGTGGTTTGTTTTTTTAAAAAGTGAAACACAAAAAAAAAATATATATACAGTGAATGGTAGTTCTACAGACATAGGGTCCTTTCACATGGGGTGGACTTGTTTAGCGGATCCGCTTGCTCAGTGTGGGATCTCTTCGCTGATCCCCGCTGAGCAAATGGAGGACAGCTTCTGTGTCCATTCCGGTGCTGCAGAGCAGACATAGAGCTGCTCGCTCTCCTCAGTGGGTGGTCGGATGAAAACAGACCACCTGTCAGTTTTCATCCAATCTAACGGAAGGGGAATTGGATCCCCATCTGTCTGTTTTTAGCGGATTGGATGTTGACATGTATGTTTACACCTGCTGCTCCATAGAGGAGAATGGAGGTTCCGATCTGGTCTGCCTGAAAAACGGGCAGGGCAAACCCGATCGGGACGTCTGTGTGAAAGATCCCATAAATGCATTATGGATGAGAGAGGTCAGCGGAGAATTTCCAAACTGGTTTGAGTTGACAGGCTACCATAACTCCGATACCACTTTTCACCACTGTGGTGAGCAGAAGAGCCTTACTGAATGGGCAACTTTGACAAATATGGGCTACAACAAGAAGACCATGTTGGGTTCCACTTTTGTCTGCCAAGAACATAAAGTTGAGGCTGGATCAAAAAAAAAAAAGCCCACCGAAGCTTGATCGTTTTATGCTGAGGCACACAGATGGTAGGGTCAGAATTTGCCATTAACAAAATGAATCATGCACCCAGACTATTTTGGCTCAACAATCCAGGATGGTAATGATGTGGGAAATGTTTTCTTGGCACTCCATTGGCCTGTCAATACCAACAAATGATCAGTTGAATGCTGTAGCCTATTTGAATAATTTTTCTGACTGTGCATCCCTTCATAGCCACAATTTGTGTATACCATAGTATTACTAATAAAGTGCTGAGTGAGCGTACACAAGCCACAGAAGAGCTTAGGCTTTACTGACCTTACAAATCAAAACGGAGAAGTGATGGCAAGAAAAGACCAAGAAGTTTATCTAGTTCGCCCCTTTTTTGTTTTTTAATGTCTGTATAAATCTTTTTGTCCCAAGCGTTTGTAAATTCAATAAGGCCTCATTCAACAGGCGTACCAGTCAGACTGTGTTCCGAATTGTGCATCAGACCCGCAAGGATGTACATTTTTGGATACGCATAGAGGTCCATGCAGCCATCTGCCTGTCATTTATTTTAACAGGCTGCCTGCAGGCCCGTGCATGGAACACTTGACCATCCCGTGTTACTGAAAACGGGCCTTCATGTTTCGGATGACGGTCATACATATCGCTTTGCGTGAAAAAGGCCTTACCTTTTGACTGACTTGTTATCTCTGCTGGTAGTCTGTTCCAATCATCAACTACTCTTTTCAGCACAATCCTTTCTAAGGTTAGATTTGAACTTGATCCTACTGGTTTTGCTGTCACGTCCCTGTATTCTTGATCTTTGCTTCATATTGAAAATACTGCCCTCTTGGACCTTATTCACACTTTTAATGTATTTAAAGGTTTTAGTTCTGTCCACCCCTTTCCCTTCTTCAAGACTGCGTTTTTAAGTTTATGCAGTCTCTCCTGAAATGTCTTTTCCCTTAGTCATTTTTTGGTTTTTCTGTTGCTTATATCTGGACTCTTTTTATCTTACCAATGTATTTTTGAGAGGTACCTAGAACTAGACACAGAATTTTAAATTAGGTCTATCTTAAGATCAGTATAGGGGAACTAGGACCTCCTATCTACAGCCGGTGATCCTCTAGTGATACCCAGAATACGATTTGCTTTCTCAATGCCAGACCACACTGCTCATTTTGCAATTATTTGAAAAAAACATTCCTTAATCTTTTTTTCCTCCGTTCTGACAAGCTCTGTACCACGATATTGTACTCAATCAGAGGATCCTTTTTTCCCCTAAGTGCTTCCTTTGCATTTAGAAATCAATTGCAGATTCCATTGCTTTGACCAGTCTTCCAATAATGCGAAAGCATGTTCATGTTTACAAACACTTCCAGGAATATAATATGGTACTCCACTAGTGACTGGACTTTGTTTTGATTAAACTTCACTTACAACCCCACTTTATCTGTCTTTTTAGCTGTGATTGCACTAAACCACCAAAGAGTAAAGTCTTTGTACAACTTTATTTATGAGATCATAATTTTGAACCATTTCATAACTTTGCTGTAATTAAAATAGGTTATGCTCACAGCATCACCCTTGTCCAGAAAGTGCAATTTAGCCAAATAATTCATCCAACTAGTCTGCCATGATCAGCTCTCGGTAAAATCATATTTGTTTAGGTCAACAAGTTGAATGTTTTTCAAGGATCTTTGATCCTTATTAAGAAATTATTAATTTTACTAATACAGAAGTTAAACTCCTTGGCGGGCAGCTGCCGGCTTATTCCTTACTACTTTTTGTGGATTAATAGCTGTCTTCCAGTTACACAGTACTTCTGTTTTTAGATTGATTATAAAGATTCGTAATGGTCCAACAACTATACCTTGAAGTTCTCTGGGATGAATACCATCAGCTTTTTGAAGCGGCACTAAACTGTATCTGAACATCACAAACTGAACACTATTTAATTCATTTTTAATATTCAAAGCAAACTCCCCCATCCATGTCTCCATGCTTTATTTCATTGAGATATCACATTGAAAAACACCACCTAGCATTTCTAACTGCATCCATATTGACCAGATGAAGAAGTTAGCATTTGCTTCTTGGAATCAATCTGCCCTTAGCTCAGGCAGGAGAGTGTGCTTAGCTGAGAGAGCCCCACCCTTCTTCTGATGAAAGTAAAAAAAAAAATGCCCATGAAAACTCATGGGATGTATGACATTTTGGCCTGAGCCAGAAATCAGGAAGCAACTAAAGAAATGTGAAAAATAAAGTTTGAAACCAGTAAATATATCTTCCTTCCATGCTGATTGAGAGCGTTTAATTCCTATTTTTAAGTAGGTAATTCATCTGCTGCCTCTTTTCTAGAAACCTTGACAAGGACCAATAAGATCCCACAGTTTGTTTTTTGTTAGTGTTACTGATATCTGGGAAGATGGAACTGCAGTGCTTACTGCATTCAGGTCTCCCTCAACATAAGTGTTGTATTTAGTTTTGATTTCTTTGATTCTATAGTATCTTTTCTTCTTGTCACTAATATGTATCTATTTAATAGAAATTGTCATCTTAAAAGAGAAGTATGACTTTCTGGGAAAAAAAAAAATAGACCGACCTAGAAGGATGCACCATCGATCTGAAGCTGCATCTGTGCCCTGCTGGCTCTGCACCGAGAACTGAGCAGTCAAACACCTCTGATTGCTCAGTTCTTGGTCTTAAGTCTGCTCACTGGGTTGCTGGGCTGTGGAGGGAGTAGGAGCGGCTGGTTCAGGCTCTCAGTGGCTTCCGGTCTAGGCTTCTGGGCAGATTCCTGACAATATTGTCAGGGTCTTTTCAGAGCCTGGACTAGCTACGTGACATCAGCCAACAGCGGGCTTTAGTCCTAACTGCACCTCTGTGATCCATAGCAGAAGCTTTGGCTATACTTCTCCTTTCCACATCTAGCCATTTCCTTTTTTCTGCTCTTTACCAAAACCACTGTATGTTTTTCTACACTTCTTTATCATTGTTCATTGATTATAACATATCTCTGCTCCTGCTTGTAAGCTCAGTTTGAAAACTCCGGTCAGTGCTTGGAATAATGGCGTTACCCATAATTAAAACTTCAACTTTCATTGTGATTTCCGTTATCTCCTCAATCAACAGGCTCTCATAATCCTTACATACCTAAAGGAACATTCCTCTCTAGGTAGGCAGACCCAGATAAGGTCTCAAGTAGTTCGGGGGGGTGATGGCTCACCTTTTCTTACACCTTTTTTTTGTCTATAGTGTGTACCCCAGCCATTTGAATTCCAGTACCCATGTCTCTGTAATTGTCTTAAGTTATCTCTGTACACAAGTTGTCGGCTCACAAAGCTTCGCTAAACTACAAGCATTAATGCATGTGACGTGGCAAACACCGCTATCCTGTGTTTGATTTCTAGTACCAGAATCTTTAACTGCCCTCTTCCAGAAGAGCATAACCATTGGCAAACGTACCCTCTTCATGTTCCACATGAGCTGTCTGTTATCAGTTCTCTGCCTGACATTCCTGACATCAAATGGTTACCTGACCAAGACAGAATTGACCACGGCCATACTACCTCTATGGGCTTTACCATTACTCTCCCTTTTGTCCATCTACTTTAGGTTTTACTTTGGTACTATTTACTCAAAGACTTATATTTTTTTAGTCTGCATAGTATGTGATCCTGTCAGTGGTTACGCTCACCACCACCAAACAGTTGTCCTGTGATTATCATTGCTTGAAACTGAGGCAGTGATCTTCTAAAGTGGAACTACACTGCATCTGAGCACCACAAACCAAAAGCGCTGTTTTTTATTTTTAATATTCTAAGCAAACTTAGCCATCCATCCAAGTCTCTACGCTTTATTTTGCTGAGAAATCACTTCGTAAAACACCCCCTAGCATTTTGGTCTGTCGCTATCTTGAGTGAGGTCAGATGATTCATGTAACAATCACTTCCTGGAATCCATCTGTCCCCAGCTCATGCATACAGGCAGAATTCTGTTCTTTAGCTGAGAAAATTGCTCCTCCCTCTTGAAGACTGCAAGGCCTGGAACCAAGGAAGTAACTAAAATGTAAAATACAGTTTAAAACAAGTACATAGGAGCTGCCTTTAGTTGTTATAGTCTGAGTTACATTAATGTTATTGTAACTTATGTGCCATTGCTAGCCCCTGCGTGGGCGTACATTTTCCTTTTGCCTTGGAGTTAGAGCACTGTTTTCTCTATTATGCTTATTAATTTATTTTTTTATTGGTGCAATTGATAGCCCCTGTGTGGGCGTGTTTTGATGCCTCTGTTTATACTGTTTATAATTAAACTTAATAAAAACCATTGAAATATATAAAAAAAAAATAAAAACAAGTACATAGGAAAACATATCATATCTATCTAGGGTTCAAAATGGTAAATGTTGATTGACAGAATGAAGTTCCACTTTAAAATGAAGATTCAATGCACAGAGACCAGCCAAATGCTCATCTCAATGTGATTGCAGGAATTTTGATGAGGAAACTGTTTTGAAATGATCTTACGATGTTTTAGATACTCATGCTAATTGTCATGTTTTTGAACATAGCACAAATCTTACTCCTAATGTAATAAAACCGGAAATGTAAATGCTGCTTTCTGACTGCTAGATGTTTATTACAAATGTATATCTTGTAAATCCTTTTTAAAGCAAATTACAGCTCAGTAGTATTTTTTTTTTTTTTTCTTTTAATAAGCAACTGTGCAATGTTGAATTGTCTGAAGAGGGCAGTAAAAGTTGTTCTTGGAAGAATGAAGAGTTGTCCACTCAAATTTTATGTTTTTGTTTAAACTTCTGTCAGTAAACAATTTAGAATTCAAAACTTTAATGAAAAAGAAAAAAAACACCTTTAAGAGTTTGATACTCCATCGTTTCTTGGATCATCAGTGTACTGAAGAGCTATGGCCATCTGACACACGTCCGGTCTTAGTGTGTTGCATTTTTGTTCCCTACCATGCACTGTGCTTCTGGCCACTGTAGCACAGTAGAGACCAGCAGATGGAACAACTGCTTGCGATGAGCGATTCTAGCATCAGACACACCCTGAAGAATTGGATTTGAGAACTGCACTGGAGACCATAGCTTTTGAACAAAGCGAAGGTCTGAGCAACAGGCAGTAGTACAGGTGACCATGAATTCAAGTTTTCAGTGTTTTTTTTTTTTTCTTGTATAAAAAAAAAAAAAAGCAAACGGATGCTGTTAAGGCTTTTTCATAAATAAAAGTCCTTTTGCTCATAAGGCTGCAGATGCATTCTGAACTCTGGACACAAACTTTCATTTAAATATGTTCCTCAGTAGCCACTTACCCTTCACAGGAGGATACAAGACCACTTACCCTTCACAGGAAGTTCTAGTAACAGTGACTGCTCTTGATAAAAGGAAGCTCCCGTACAAAGACAAATTTCATGCTGGGTTAGAGCACAGATATGGAAGAAATAAGCACGCATACCAAGATTCAAGTAAAAAAAATACACGTGCCTCTTGTATATGGAAAAAATATATCCTTATCTAGCAATTCAACTTTAAAACCACCTACAAAAAAATGTTAGAAAAAGCAATCTATCAAAAATATTATATGTACTCTTGTAGAGATGGTCATTTTGCTTATGCAACATTATTCTAATTGTACCCTTTTTTTATGTTAGAGGCATTCAATGTATAAATATTTTATACATAGTTATGTTCCAGCTTGGACCTTTGTAACCATTTATACACCATACCTGGCCAATGCCCCCAGAAGCTGGAAATCACTGAAGTATACATTATTTCAGTGATCTACATTTGCTTCCGGGTCCTGCACTGAGCAGCTGTCCTGCAGCATTCGGGACATAAGAGGTAGTATACTTGGCACAGGCATTATTTTTCTGAGTTCAAAGCATTTTATTTATTTGACAAGCTGGGGCGGTGACGTCATGCTTGGGACCTCGTCCAATCAGAAAATGTTTCTTGTTCATTCTGAAAATGCAAAGCTTTTTCTGAAAGGCGCACATGTCGAGTGGCAGACCTCCGATGTTTAGAATGCTTCAGGGGAATGCTAGGCATGGGGCCCAGACAATTGTGGTGGTCAGTGGAGTAGCTTTGTCTGCTTCAGTAATTTCCAGCTTCCAGGGGCATTGGCCAGGTATGGGGCATATGCATAGTTATAATGCTCCAAGCTGGACCAGTGTAACTCAATATAAAATACCCACACCTGGAATTCATCTTTAAAATACCAGCTTCTTGAGTCTTTATCTTGTTTTGGCATGCTAGTAATTTTCACTGTTTGACTTTTCTGCAGAACCAGATTCAGCACCTCAAACAAGTGCAGCAGCCCAGCGTTGCCCAGCTGAGAACTACTATGGTTGACCCGGCTATCAACTTGTTTTTCCTCAAAATGAAAGCCGAACTGGAACAGACTAAAGACAAACTGGAACAAGCCCAAAATGAACTGAGTGCCTGGAAATTTACGCCTGATAGGTAAACAAACCAAATACTTCCCAGTCAAGACTTCCCTGACAATCCCACTGCGAGAATACTATGGTGGGATGGCCAAGTACTCGTTTTGCACACCAAGACTCAGACTCTTGTGAGCCAAAAAAGCACCTTTCTTACATTATCCAGCTTATATTGCTTAATGTAAAACTTATCAGATGAACCTTGTATTTCAGCTTTTTATTTTCCTCCCCTCATTTGCTTCAGAGGCCTGAGAGCGTCGGACTATTCCGAAGAAGCAGCCACATCCAGCAGTGTCCCCAGTTCTAGAACACTTAGACACTTGCAGAAATGGTTCTGAGTGAAGAAAATACAGGGGGAAAAGAAGTCTTATGTGTCTGGCACATTGTGTCAGCAGCCATTTTATGGAGGAGAGAACCTAGTATTTTTTTTCTTTTTGCCATAAATTTCATGAGTTGAACATGCTAAATCCCCATAAAAGGTTTTTAAAAGGTGGAAATTTCTTTACGTTTACCTTGAGCCTAGTGACTTATAGACATTATCAGGCCGTATTTCCAATTAAGACTCTGGACTCCATGATTGTTCAATGAACTGTTGAGCCCAATCAAATGGTGAATTTTTTTTGTCTTAAAAGGGGTTGTTTTGTAGTAGCCTTCGGTGCATAAATGTGATTCATCACACTAGTGTAGTGCATGCTTTTGATATACCAGCCAGTATGTATTTTTGTTGCTCTTATACAGCTGGTAATTAGTTTGCTTCAAGCACACTTCTTTTGTGGTCTATCCATTGGACGTTCAGAAAAAAAAGTGTGCATTTTTGGGGAAGGCGATTAATCACTTTCATTGGAACAAAGTTTAGGACATGAAAAGAAGTGTTTTGTGGCTATCAGTCGGTACTAGACATTTATACAGTAGATTTGAAGAGCATGCCACAGACTTAACTTTCAGGCTTGTTGGTATTGATTATTCTATTGATTTGCCTGCATTTTAAGTCCTTTTTTTTTTTTTTTTTTTTTTGTGTTTTTTTTTTTTTTGTTTTTTTAAATTCATGCCTTTGGAGTTGCATTGCACTTTGTGAAAAACTGAAGTTTCCCTGTGGGAACCAAAAAAGATTTTTCTAGTAAAAGTATTTTAGATTTCCGTTCTGGAAATAAGCCGTAAAAGGGGATTAAAGGACCGTCTTCCTTTTTTTTTTTTTTCTTCTTTTTTTTTAAGGAACATTGTCTAGACATTTTTATTGAATTAGATCTTCTGTGAAGATGTTAAGGTACATGAAATTTTGTTCTTTACGTATAACAAGTAACCACAGTCTTTTCATAGGTTCTGTTTGCATTGATTGTCCATTTTGCTTAACCATGATGTGGGAAAATAGTAATATATTTTTGGCATGTAAACAATTTAAAACCAGTATTGGATATTTTTTTTGAAAATCAGGTAAGTGAGTTCAGAACCTGCTCTATTCGGGACATAAGTCGATTTATGAATAAGATTAGCAGGTTGCAGAAATGTGAAAAATAGATCTTTCTAAAGCAAAACTGTTGTGTCTTTAATTTACAGTAGGTTATTTATTTATTTTTTTTTTCGATTAAACTTCAGACGTGATTGCTAATGTGACAATGCAAATATTGTGTTTCCTGCTTAATTACCTTAAACCAGAAAAGTTCAAATAAATTAATTTGGATGCAGTTTATTGGATACCGATTTACATATGTTGTAAAATTACTTTTCTAAAATATTTTATTTAAAAGTTCGAGATAATTGGCTTCCATTCTGGAACAGGTATTGCACATTTTGATAAAAGCTATCAACTTGAATCATCCAGAAGTAGCCAAGGTCTGCACATCTTTTGTGTCCTTTTTGATAATACCTCATTCTTTCATCCATTTTATATCCTGAAAAAAATGTAGCAGGATGATTTAAGATTACAGTGCATTTAAAGCAAAATGGTATTTAGTGGGAATCTCTGAGAAAACAAGCGATTCAACTTGCCAGCTTTTACCAAACACAGATATATCAAGTTTGGTTTGCCAGATCCCTCAATTCTGGGTGAGAAGTAAAATATTCTAATGTTACATATACACAGAGGGATGTGTATATGACCAATAGTATGCTGTTTTGATAGTAGGAAACAATGGGAGGGTGCATCCTGGGATGGTTTTAAGGGTTTAACAGCCAACTGAAAAACCACCTCCTAGGTGCCTTATTTTCCATAGGTTTTCTCTTGGTTTCAGCCAGTTGCAGCTTTTTTTTTTTTTTGTTTTGTTTTTTTTGTTTACCCATTTTGGTAAGTGGAATTTGGTTGACACATGAGCTTATTGCCATCTCTAGAAGATGTGCAAGTTATTGGACATGTATACTCTGCATTTTTATGCCCAAAACCTTTGTATTTGTCTCACATATAGTGTTTGTGTTTTAGAAATTGAATTATTGCAAATGTTAGCAACATGTACAGGAATAGAATTGAGTTTTGTAAAGTGATAAATGCCACAAGATCTGTTAAGAAAAGTTAAATATTTGTCTAACAATGTGATTGATATGGATCTTGAACTGCCATAGAATTTAAATGGCTATTGTGCCTATAAAACAGAACAGGGAACTGAAGTCCTCTCCATCAAGTAAGTTGCATTTTATAGTTAATGTCAGATTACTTGGTAAAAAATTGGTAGAAGTTTTGTATTTTCAGTCCTGTGTGTATATTATATATATATTGATAAATATGACTGGTATGCACTGACTATGAACCAAAATGAATTGGAATATATTCAAGAATAACTGCACTTTCATAGTTTATCAGGTGTGGGCTATATTTGTCGATGCAATGGTATATGTATTTAATAATATGATCCTCCGTGCCAGCCCTGGATTTACATGAGCTGCAATTACTGAAGTCATGCTGCTCACCTCTATATTCTGCAGCTGGTGGATGAGCTTTGTGCTGGGTTCCTCTCAGCTGAATAATCAGCAGTCATGTATAGAATCTACCTCCCCATCTACAAGCTGCTCACCAGCGTTGGTTGGGAGTGATGCCTCTCAGTTCACATAATTAAAAGGAACAGCATCATATTATTTACAGATAGTATTTTACATAAAGTGATTTTTGCCTGAAAATGCAAGGTTTTCTTATCTTGCATACCCCCACCTTCCTAATGTGAAAGCAAAATAAAAAATTTGGAAGACAAATTGAAAAGATACTTGCCCTACACCTCAGCTTTCAGCATGTTCCCCTTACGAGAGAGTGATGATCCTTCTTCCAGAATCTTGGAAAAGTAGAGGAACTCAATTCCTTTGAGAATCTCACAGTGCTTGAACATCACCATCGTGTGAGATTTGGGATCCTCCACTTTCCTTGGATCTGATGAGAAGACTCTGGGGAGATTTCTAAAACGTAAAGCAGATGTGCATAGTAGCTACTCAGTTTAAGGTAAAGTGGTATTTATATGATTTATATTGTAGCTTTAGCTTTCTAATCCTTAACCACGGTGGCGGTCCACGTTTTGCGTGGGCACGAGACCCCATCCATTTGAATGGACTCCCAGAACAGGCAGGGAAGGAGTCCCTTCACTTCTGGAACCGCAGCCCGCACGGGAACCGAGGTTCCCAGTACGGTTGCGATTTCTAGTGTGGGCGGCGTGTATTTAGAATTAATGGCCCCGGTCCGTGGGTACGCATTCCTTTGTGCGGCCGGTGCGGCTGCACGGATTTTTGTGCGGATCCACAGCAGCAGCACACCCGCACATATGTGAACCTAGCCTTAGATAGCACTAGAGTTTGGTTTTAATTTGTTAGTCAAGCCTAACACTTTTTAAAGCAGTTACAGCAACATTCCCCCCCCCCCCCTTTTGGGATAGAGCTTTTACATAATTGACTAAAAGCTTCCCATTGTAAGCATCCATTAGTGTTAAAAGGTTTGACTCAACACTCTTGACTGACACTTTTGCTGGACAGCCTGGTCTTTTAACACTTCCAGACCGGACACTTTTACCCCCTTCCTGACCAGGGCAATTTTCAGCTTTTAGCGCTATCACACTTTGAATGACAATTGCGCTGTCATGCAACACTGTACCCAAATGAATTTTTTACCATTTTTTTTTAGATAGATAAAGCTTTATTTTGGTGGTATTTATTCACCACTGGGATTTGTATTTTTTTTGCTATGTAAATGAAATGTCCAAAAATTTTTTTAAAAAAGTGTTTTTTTTATAAAAATTTTGCAAATAAATAATATTTTCATCATAAATCTTAGCCAAAATTTATTCCGTTATCTTTTTAGTAAAAAAAAAAAAAAATCCAAATTAGTTTATAAGCAAAAATTATAATTTTTAAACATTTTTTTTTTACATTTTTATTTTATTTTTTTATATTATTATTTTTTTTTTTTTTTTTTTTTTTACATACTGTACCCTAGCAGTACAGTGTCACCATGGTGACACTGTACTACTTGTGAGGGGTGATAAAGATTTTTTTTTTTTTTTTTTTTACACTGATTGCTTTTACACCCATATAGGATGTAAAAGCAATCATTTCTCTTTCTCTCTGTGTGCATTCCTGCACTCATTGAGAAATACAGTGAGCTGTGATTGGTCAGAGCTTGTCACATGGTACAAGGCTGTTGTGTATAGCCTTGTACCATGTGACCTCTGTGATCATTCACAGATTTCACACATAGTAAGCAATGATGTCAGAAGTGACATCTTGCTTACTACTTTGCATGTGATCACTGATTGGCCAATCAGTGATCACATGATCGGGACCTCGTACAGAGGTCCCGTCCAACGATTGGTGTTTCACTGTGTCCGGAGGACACAGCGGGCACCGGATCGCGGTGCTGCGCGCTCCCAGGGAGCGCGCGCACAAGCAGGGTGCGGGTAGGCCGTTTATAGACGGCCACCCGACCCTGCAGTGCCACCGTCCGGCCGTTTATATACAACGGCCGGTCGGGAAGTGGTTAAAATAAGACTTGCTGGCAGAATCGGTGGGTGAAAGTGAAGGGGGAAAAAAGCATATCAAAGGAAATGAATGCAGCCA